CTGCATGCTTTCGTTCATATCCAAAAATCTTTCCAACATTTCCCCATCGAGAAATCGGAAGGGCCCATTATTTTCTCTCGCCTCGGAACGGTATGCGCGCCATAGGTCAAAATTAATGTCACCCACGGGTTTCGCATGGCGAGCAAGGCTGCTTTGGAAGTTGATCAACAGGTCCTGGTACCTTGGAGCAACCTCACCATACATGTAGACGGAACCCTCAGACTGAACATATCAATGTTAGCGGGACGTGAATTGCGTAGCGGTCTTCTAAGTTCACTCACTGAGGCTAGGAATGCTTTCGGCCACACGGCAGCATTCTCGTCTGGTGCAACATGAAGCTTCCTGATCTGGTTGATTTGCTCTCCGATATTCAACTCACTGATAATATCCATCCTTTGCCGATCTTGCTCCAGCGGTGCTTCTTTGTTTTGTCTCAAGACCACAAGATTCCCTTTTGAATCTGCCTCCAGCCATTTCTCGTCATCTAATGCGCAAATAGCCGTTGACCACGACGGGTGGTAGTGTCTTGCCCGCTCGTCAAGTCTCGCGGCTGTTACGCCCTTGCGTGGAACAAACTCAACCAAGGCCATGGATTGGCTCAGGTCTACTATACCAATAATGTTGCCCGTAATGTCAAAGGATACGGGGATACTCGAGGGGCGGTACGAAGCCAATTTCTCAACTTGGGCCGTCGCAGTGGTGTCCTCGGAGTAACTATAAACCACCACGGTCTTGGTCAGTCCTGCCACGATATGATCCCCCATGATACCCAGGCAACGGCAATTCCCGCGAAGCTTTATTTCTTTGATTTGGTAAAGCTGCCGGTTTTGATCGACACCAAGAACCAGAATGCGGCCCTGTATATCGCTTCCTGCCGTCAAAGATGGCGAATTTTGAACGAAGCTCGTCCCTACAATTAATCTCTCCGCAGGGTTTCCGTTGGAATCATGGAGTGACGCACGAACCAGGCATTCAACGAGCTCGGTTCCTGTCGAGCCATCAAGCAAAAATGGTGTGCCTTGCTCTTGGAAAATAATCTCATCAACCAGCTTGATCGTGTTGGTGATTATCTCTTCGTTCTGAACCAACTCCTTCTTGATGCATGCAATGGCAAACGCCTTCGAATCAGGAGCGTACGCTATTCGTCGGACAGTTTCTCTAACACGCAAGGGCTTGACATGGGTCAGACGTTCTCTGTCAACAAAACTGAGTTTCACATGGTCATTCGTTGAAATAATAATCGATCCGGGGAACGCCTCTGAGTCAAAGGGTGCGACGAATGTCGCATCATCGGCAGTCGTCGCTGAGTAAATGATTCTGCCCTCAGAGCTGTAGATCAAACTAGCAAATTCCGTTGTAACGAAAATGCTACACTCTCCATCGCCGTGGGGCAGGAGATGAAATCGCGATGGGCCGTTTCCGAGCGTCACTGTCTTTCGTCCAGATATTTCAAAGTTGCCGATAGAAACGTTGAATGTGATCACATTGCCGTCTTCAGTAGCGATAAATAGAGTAGGACCAGAAGTCTCCGCGGGGTGGAGCTGAACAAGTGCTATGTCTCTGGGAACCGAGGCGCTATCATCGGATTGACGCAGAGACTCTCCATGAACCGGCTGAAGAGTGGCAAGGTCAATGATAGAAATTGTACCTGAAGCCCACCAGCCAACAACTCCCAGGTTCTGAGGGTTCTGAGCGGCGTGTATGCACGATATCTGGTTTTCAAGATTATTCGATCCTGTATCTCGAGACTGAGCAAGCTCATCCAGGTCATTCTCGAGGTTGAAACGAACGAGAACAGAACCGTCGATTGCTAGCAGTAGCCACTTGTCATTCGCTGACGCAGCAGTCACCATTTTACCCTCAGGGCTTGTCCAACTTGAAGCAGCAACGCCGCTCTCAGGATCTATCAATGCAACAGACCGTGGTGTTACTTGCAAAACTTGCCCCGTTGGCAAGTTTCTTACCAGTAGAGTCTCTGATTCCAATATTATTCCCTCATGGCTGAATACCTCCTCCACACCTCCGTCCGCATCGAATTTGAACACCCGTGTCAGATCTATCAGTGATACCACAAGCGTGTCAACGGACTTTGCTCCATATGACTTCAGCGTGAATAGAGCTCGTGTATCCGTTTGGTCAAAAAGGATACCCCAGTCCTCCAGGCCAACGCCGCTTCGAATACTCCTCAGCGTGCCGTCTTGATAGGCTCCACAGCCTGCCACAATTCTAGCCTGCCCAGAGGAGAAAGCATTTCCAGCCTGTTGATCTCCTTCTCGATTACCGATATCCATAATCGCAAAATCCAGTATTGGTGCGTTATTTGAGAAACTCTTAAGCAGTCTCATTTCTTTGGAGTGAGTGTTCACGAGTAACAGCTGGGGGTCTCCATGATGGGATGCTAGGAATAAGATATCTTGACCAAGATAGACCAGTCTCGATGCTCTGGCCGTCGTCGCAGAATCCGTGTCTGTGAATTTCATCGGGCATACATTCAGCCCCGTCACAACTTCTCCAGTGGCTTCGCTTGCCGTCTCAACCGTAAGAAGATCCATGCGCCCATAATCATCTGCCAAGAAATAGTGCGTTGCGTCGTATTGTGCCCATGAAATATAGATCCTCGGTTCCTTCAGGCCCGAGGAGAGGCTGGTATAAGTCAAGCTATCGAAATAAGTCAATAGCGTCTCGCCAATAACAAGGAAGCCTCCAAGATGGGCTTTCGTCCCTTCCGATTTGCGAACATGATATCGCTTCTCCTCGGGGACAGGAACAGGAATAATCATGGATGCATACGGATCCTTGATTTTCTCGTCGAGCTCCCTGTCTTTCTGAGGGTCGAACTTGGAGACTTCCCCACCCCTGTCATCCTTGGTCAAGCGATACACTGCGATGCGCGCCTCCTCGTGCTCTTGCTGGCTCTTGTATAGAAAAACGATCCTTGGATGGCCGGTTCGGCTATGTATGAAGGCGCTGGCCTTCATCCAGAGTTCGGTATGCCTTACTTGAGCTATCGCATCCAACCGAGTTGTTTCCCGCCCTCTTGTGCGCAGCTTAAAAACGGTCAGGACGCCCTCCCAGAGATGCATAACCACAAACTTGCCGGTCGGATCAACCAAGCACTTGTTCTGGCTTTGCGAATGGCGCATGAATGGTTCGGCTTCATCGTGAATATACTTTTCGGTGACAGTTTCGACCTCCTTCGTTTCCGAGTTCCATGCCAGAGTGAAATAATGCTGTCTATCGGTGCCCACGAAAAGCAAATCGGTCTCGGAGTCCTTCGGCTGGAGTCTCTGAAGCATAACAATCGTGCCGTAAATGACAACGGAGTGCTTTTTTGTCAAGCCATCTTCGTCTAGCTGCCATATCTCGATGCGATTCGCTTTCCTGCCAGCATTGGGATTAGGCTCAGTGTCATTCCTGGTGTGATAGGCACGCGGTGGAAGCATCGGGACCACTTACGAGAGGACAAGGTCTTCCTGATCTGGAGAGAGGAATCTCATCCACAGCGCATGCCGAATGCTCGTGGCCAGATGTACCGGCGCGATGTACGACATGATCAAACCATCTGGGGAGAAGCACACCACGATGCGTCCAGCTATGGAAGAAAGTTGGTCGGGGCCTGCTTCTCAAGCTTTATAGCGGGGAGAGCTACCTCGGACGGGGTTCCTCTTGCGGAGATAGGCGCGATTCAAATGCGTCACCAGCTATCGGAGTTAGTGGCGCCTTGCAGGGCCACCGCGACAGACTGCCTTGGTTACCCTGCACACGACTGACAATGTATTCCAACACAATGTCAAAAGATCATATAAAAAATATATCAAGACAATCATCATAGTTTAGGTAATTTATTAATACTAGGACTCTGGTTGTCAGCGACAAAATACTGAGTCATATTTTACACGTCCCTTACTGGATACCCTAATGCTGGTTGTACCTTCTCTAGCAACTGCCCATTAACTTTACGTCTGGTTGAGACGGGAAGGAAGCATCCAGATATCGGACCAACTGTCTCCGCCTTCCGCGAAGAAATCATAAACTAGAAAGTCATAGTGTAGAGAAACCTTTAAACCTTTAAACCCATCCGCACCTAATCTATCCTAGCTCCGGAGTTGGTAATCTCTCTCTATCTAATTTTCAGATATACGCAACTCCGTCCGACCATGGACACCCCCAGGAATACAGTCAAAAGAAGGCTTGGTGGAAGTGATCTTAAAGGAGAAGACCAGGATGGGGAAAATGAAACTGCTGCATCGTATGCGCGGAAAGAACAATGCACCTGGGATCATCGCAGAGCTCCTTACCGATTCGAGTCATGTGTTTTCACTATTTCTGCCTCCCACGAGACTCGAGACGCGCAAGGATTAATTGACCAAGATGGATTGGCAGCTGCACGCCTCCCAGATACTCAGGTTGATCTTGGCATCTCCAGCCCCGAGAATATACACGAGTCTCACTAGGATTTCGACACTCGCGCAAATTGCTCGTCGCCTCCATCATTCGCTTTTCGACCCGCCAGGTCCCTCCTCAAAGATCGTGGACTTCCCTTGGAGCTTGCCAATGTTGGATCCGACCCAGTGGAAGACGTAAAGGAATATTTGACCTTGGTTGAATCTGCAAACTCATGCCAATTGGTCGACCAATGGCTTCCGTTATGCCCAACCGAAACAAGACACGATGAGGGTTTGTCGTTTCCAGAGAGATCCAGTTGGGTTCACTCCCTTCTCCTACGAGCACTCGCCAAGGAGCAGATCGAGCTTTCAGAAACGTCACTGGAATTGGAGGCAGAAGTAGCGAACCTCAAAAATTGCCCACCTAGGAAACTACCAGTAAGGCCGGATTTTCCATGTGCGAAATTTAGGGGAAAAGAGTTGCTTCCGGTTAGCCCACCCCTATCTCCAGTTTCCGATGACGATAATGAGGACGACGGAAATGCTTATTTTGTGCCAAGCGAAGGAGCATGTATAATTGACCTAACGTCGGAGCCTGATAGTCCTGAGAAGGATATGACTTTCGAGAGGGTGGCGCAGCAAATGCCAGACCCTGGACCGTTGATTCCGATTGCTTATGAGGATTTTTCTGGTCCAGAAACATCTCCTATCACTTTGGTGATTGAACCTCATCCGAAACAAGACCCTAGGCTAGATGTTCCCCTCGTATCTAGCGCTTCGTCGACCAGGACAGACGAGAATACATTTCAGAACGATATCCTTGAGCTGAACACGGACTGTAGCAAAGAGGACCCAATTGATGAGCCAAATGGCGGGTTATTTGACCACGCTTTTAACGCGACAGTCGAAGCTTGCCATTCCAGGTCAATGCTACTGGTCGGTCATGAGTGTTTCAACCCTCACGAGTACCTTTCTCGGGTCCCAGTCCCTCGGCTAGAGCTTTCCATACCACCCCAGGAATACGCCGGTATTTCTGAATCGAAAGATTTATTTCGCAGGATGAACGCCAAGAATAAGCTTGCATTTTCCATCCCCAGCGAGCAATGCAGTTCTGAGCTATCAAACATATTGAAATGGGATCCGTTTAACCATGCAAGAACAGGCCACTTCTCTGGAATAGAGGAGCTCAAGCCGCTCTCTGATAGAAGTGAAGAACTCCTGGCCATACCATCCTCGCCTCGAAAGGGAAACTTTGATCACACAGCCAAGGAGAGAAAATTAGCCATACTTACTTTTGATGAGAAGGATTTGGGGGACACAAGCGAAAGCGAGACATTTGATTCTTCGAGCGATCATGCCACTTCCTCCTATCAGACATTGGGTCAAAGATCCCTAGAAACAGAATTCAATTTCCTCGAACCTGTCAGGTTCTCAACTCTAGGGCATCTACCAACATCGAACATGAACAAGAAACTGGATCTCATCCTTCCTTTAGCTAGCGACGGAGCAGCCACAAGCAAGCTACTTGCAAGCTTTATGGAACTGAGTGGTGCGAAGAGTTCATCAAAAGTGCCCGGTTCTGATGACGAGCCCAACGAACATCCCAACACGAGTTCAAAAGATAGCTATGGGCGCCAAGCAGCACTGTCTGTTGTCAGCTCGGAATCAACATCGCCTTCAATCGGTATCTCCAAACTAGTTCCAGCCGAAGCACCAGAGTTTACTGAACCTGACCGACACGGTGTATTCCTGGTTTCACTTGATATTGATCATCGTATTCTTCGTCAGTTGGAGAAATATTGGCCTCCTGGGTGTCTGATCGATCGAGATTTTTCAAATTGCAAAAGCTGGTACTCGTCGGATGCCAATGAAATGGGCCGAGAACGCTCCAACTCCCCTGACCTATCTGATTGTGATATAATTCTCACATCCAGTGTGGGCATAATTATCACGAGCCTTGTCAAGGCTAAACAAACACAACTCCCCGGATCAACAAAACGACCGGAGTTGCAGGCACGAATCATATCCGCAAGTGAGAGATACGAAACACTATTCGTTCTAGTCTCGGAAGAAAGTCCGTCTAGGGAAGTCATCGGCAACCCAAACCCCTCTGATGTGGCTGCATATGCGGAATTTGTAAACTTTACTCTCAGTCTTGGCGCAAATGTGATATCTCATTACGTTCCCGGCGCAACCGATACACTCGCCAAGTGGATTGCATCATTCATGTCCCACTACACGCCATATGTTCTTGAAATTAAGCGTTTCCTAACATGTGAAGAGACCACCTGGGGGGTGTTTCTCCAACAAGCGGGGATGAATGCCATGGCCTCTCAGGTGCTCGCGGGCGTGTTGTTCGAGGAGTCCGAAAAGAGGGGCCTGGCCACGTTCCTCGTGATGCCGGTCCAAGAACGCATTTCAAAGTACGCTAAGATCTTAGGAGGGCAGAAACAACTCGAAGGGGTGAGTCAAATCTTGGATGAAGCCTGGGAGTGATAGATATTCCTGCCCTGTGTAAGTCTGGTAGCAGCTTGGAAGACAGTTGAAGTATGCTGCTCGAAGGTGAAAATGGAGCGGGCACTGATGTGACTATGCCACGTACGCATTACATAGGCCAGTCACAGACCAGTTAGTATGTTTGAATCTGTTGGGGGGGGATCTACGCTTGTGAAGTTGGCTGGAGGTTGACATGTAGAAGACCATCTCGAGACATCGAACAGGGCGTGTTTCTATATCACACATGTTCTATGCAACCCATGGTCGCAATCTATAGATGATCTTCTGACGTAGCAATCAACCGTGAAATACAGCATCTATTCAGTTGGTGGTCCCATACCTATCCCACCTATTAGGCGGTTTAGTACCTCATTCCTGCCGTCAGCACAATTCCCACATCGGTCGGGGAAAGTGTTTCAAGTGCGAGCCGTGCCGGCGCTGTCCCTCTTTGATACCGACGTACACCACACGGCGAGAGGGATTTGCTACAGTGACGGACTTGGATTCGAGGCCATAATAGTCGCAAATAGCGTGGGTGAGCCATCGCCTAAAGGGAATCACGGTCAGTTGACATCATCAAAAGGCAGCAGGGAGCGAGCGAGACGCGAACACTCACTTATATGCAGCCCCCTCACCCTCACCGAAGGAATCGAAAACCATGCCCGAGTCGACGGTCTCATGCGACACCTCCCGATGCGCCCTCTTCCACCCGCCACCCTTGCCGTTCAGCTCCCTCATGGCGCCGCTCCGGCCCACAAAGACAATCTCCTCGTCGTCCGAGTCCATCTCCCCCACCGCGCTGTCGTCGAGCAGGTCCTGCTCCCTCTCGTCGGCGCGGGCCCGCAGGTACTGGCGGACCGGCTCCTCCAGGGCCCGGACCCAGCTCCTGACCACGGGGCTCCTCTTGGCCGACTCCCGGAGGTCGCGGGGCACCTCACCCGCCCCGAGGCCCGTGGCGCTGCCGCTCTTGAGCTGCTGCTTCTTCCTCTGGGCGGCCAGGCGGGTCGTCTTGTCCTCGACGCGCTGGCGGACCCCGATGTCCCAGAACTGGGCCAGCTGGTAGGGGATGTGGTGGACGGTGTGCGTGGCGCGGACCTCCCAGTCTCTCGGCTCCGGGGGCTGTGCGTTGGGGACATGCATTAAACGGTCTGCAGCAAGGGGGAAAACGGAACAGATGCCTGGTTAGCCACCTGTCTTATTGCCAGGGGAGGGGAAGAAGCAAGATCCGGGACCGGCAAAGCAAGAAGGGAGGAGGGGGTGTGCAATCGTTATTTACCATTTTCCCATCGCCGGCGCTGGCGGCTGCCCTCGTTTCCCTTCAGCACGGCCTCTCTCTTCTTCATGCTGTCCCTCCGCGAGGGGGGCCTCCTGGGTACATCTGTGCGTGTTGGCTCCGGGGTGAATCCCACGGACCGCTTGGGATGTTCGTCGTCGATGGCGATGGCGAGCGGGGTGCCGGTGCCGCGGGCGACGGGGGAGACGCTGAGCGACTGGAGGGCCGAGATGGTCCAGGCATCGATGTCCACGCCCGTTGATGATTGGTTTGCCTGGGACTTGAGGGTTGAGAGAGGGCTTGCCGCTGCGGGATCAGCGGCCAGCTCGGGGGGTGGAGGGACTGCGCTGAACATCGCCATGATCACTTAACGCGGTTGCTTCGTATCGATAACGGACGGAGATAAGATATCAGTAGGTACTAGGTAGGGATGAAGAAGCCAATTATACTGATTAGAGTCTGGGAGAAGAATATAGGTGTGCTGCAAGGTGTTATGTATAGGGACTGGCTGTAGGTGTCGCGATTGAGTAAGGAGAGAGCTCGGAGAGGGTTGAGGAGCTTAAGGGCGTCGGCAGTCGATGGGGATGTGGAGGAGTGTGCGGTGGCGGCGTCTCACACGGGGATCGAAGACGTCGAGACTGCCTGCAGGTCAGGGGCATGGGTCGGGGGCCAATCAGTGGCCGAGCGCAAGCCAGGTGGAGGGAAGATAAGGCATCTGTGCTCCACGGAACCGATGCTCCGATGTACAGTACCTTTCTGTCTCGGAACTCTAGGTCATAAAGTCGCTCGCAGGCAGCCAGGTGCTACTTTGGTAAGGCGTAGACTTTCCATTAAGCTTTTAGTCGCGGCGTGCTGATGTCTCATGATGTGCCTTTGTCAGTACAACATGAGCTTCGGTCAGCAGTTGCATCTCCATCAGTGAGGATGACCATCCGGTACCCACGATACGAGCGGGACCTTTACGGCTAGCAGTAATCGTCTGAGTCACTATGAATCACAGCACAGCAGTAAGAGCTGAATGTTGCAATACTAATCATGTCTCAGTGAGTCAGAACGCCAGGCAGAAAGCAACCAACAAGAATGTATCTGGGTTTAGTCTCTTTGCCCTCGTTCCCTGTGCAGTGTGGATGTTGGTAAGGTTTCCGGGGGAAAACTCTATGAGCTAATCCGACTCCCTCTAGCTCGGCCGCCAACTCAATGTACGATTCATACACATCTGACAGCGAATTGAATGCAATTGATCATCAACTCTAGTAGGAAATATCGTTATGAATTGAATTGGGTCCTATAGCAATGAGTCCTTTCAATGATTCAATGATTGACCCCCATGTTTCTCCGTGATCAATAAGCTTCAATTAGTAAGTCTGTTGGTACCCAAAAGTCTGACATAAAAAAACAAAGTGCTAACTCCGCTAATGGTGATTTGAGTTATAGGTCTTGTGGGGATTTCCGATCCCTCCAGGCTTCAGTAGAGGCTGGTTCTCTCGGGCGATGGCCCGCTCCTCTCGTTCCTGAATATCGTCCAAGTCTTCTTCAGTCTCCGCATACAACTCTGGGTGACCAGTAAATGGCCCTGGGAGACCTCGCTCCCACCCTTCTGAGTATGTCCGGTTTGCTACTGGTCGCCGGCTGGAGTGGTATCGATCGACAGGAGACTCCGGTGCACTTTCGGTGTAGCTGTAGACCGGCCTTTCGCGTCGTGCCGCGAGTTCGTATGAAATAGCCAAGAATAGAACCATTCCTTGCATGCCAGCTGTCAATAGATAGATGGCCCAGGTACTCCAACCCTCCCAGCCGAGTCTTGTGAAAAGGCTTGCAGCGAAGAGTAGTCCCCCAGGAGTCTGGATGCACATCATGGGAATGCTCAGACTTCCAGCATGCTTCAGCTTATAAGTCGTCCAAATCTGGGGGATGTACTGAACCGCCGCCAATGCAGCTGCCATGACGCCGAGGAAATTCGCCCAGAAGTTGAGGTGACTGGGGAGTGCAATGACGAAGACGCCTGTCAGGATAATCACAATCAACGCGTGGAAGATGCAAAGCAGACCGACAGCTGCTGCAGTACGCCAGCCAGGGGCATCGCCGGCCAATTCTTCCTGGGGCACAGAAGCTCCTCGGTATCGAAAGAAGATGAGGAATAGAATGAGGCTGCATCGTGATGATTAGTAAGGGCAGTGATACCTGGGCCACGACAATATGGTAAATACTCACATGAAAAGAAAGCAGAGCCACTGTGCACCAAGCTGTGCGACGCCCAATAAACCTGCAGCACACTCAAAGGTATCCAGTTCCTTGCAGCAGCCAATGGCCGCGCGAGATGGCGGAACTGTGAGAATATTGGCGAATCCCGCAGTCGCAGACGTCGTACCAAGCAGAACAAAGTACGGGGATATTCCCTCGGATGTGCCTCGTGAAATGATACGGTAGTGTTGGGGGAGATATGAGACGAACAGACCGAGGAGAATGACACTGCATATGCTTGTTAATTGAGAACGCTCCATAGGGCTGCGACGTCCACTCACATTGAAACTGTCAGCTCGAGGTATGAAGGTTCATGGTATGCCCCGCACTGGGTGCCCGATACATCAAGGGCTTCCATCTCGGGCTGTTTTCAGAGGAGATGCCTTGTTTGAGAGAAGTTCGGATGGTAAACAGCCAGGCCCTGCCCAACTTCTGTGATTGGCCGCGTTATGTCTACGGTGACGTGCAATTCGGTCGTGGATTCGGTAGAAGGGTGTGGCGAGCGTACGTGCTGTCGGGAATTATCGAGAACTGAGATCCAGATGATCTTGATAGATTGAGCCGCAGCGCAGGACGGGCTACGGAACCATCTTGTGCCGGATGAGGCGGTAGGAGACGAGAGGGAGGCTAGCCAGGCGGGCTGCTGGTCAGACTGGGAGGTAGGGCGGTTCGTATTGGCAGCCCAGGCGGTTGGCTACGTGGGAGTGAACAGGCAGGGAAGCAGCATGCGCAGGAATGGGCAAGAACGGTGGTATGAGCAGCAGCCTGGATGTGGAAGGGAAGGTGAGGTGAGCAGGTGCATGGACGGAGAGACAGCCTGAACCCATCCGTCTGCCTGGGGCTGCAGCAAGTTGAGTGCACGGGCGGCCAGCGACCACTAACTGCACCGACGCCCCAGTGTAAAGGCCCTGGCAACAGCCCATGGCCGCCTCGCCGAGCGGAAGGGCCCACTGGAATGGATGCAATTAGACTTGGGGTCATCATAGTCCCCTGGGGACGTTGAGGTCACGCGGTGCGCTGTCTTGTGTGTAGAGGTACATGGCCTGCCCCTCGGACCCTAACAGTGACGTGTCTAGCCTGGGTGGTACAGCGATGCCAGACCGAGCCAGTGTGTGCTGATGACGTCGTCCCGACAAGGTGGGACCTGCATCTCGCCCAAAGCAAAACCCCTAAAAGTGGGATTGGACCATCTTTGCGTTCGCAAACTGGGACCGGCCTGGATGGTAATTTACCATATTCTTGGGCACCCAGGGTCCATTGGCAAGTGGGAATCCATCCAACCTCAGGCTGCTGGAGACCAACCACCTGCGACTGATTCCGCATTGCCATAGACAAATATAGGTCCCGTTGTCGGAGTGCTGTGTCAGGCAAAATCCATCAACAGCTGATCACATTGAGGCGAAGCAGGTTTCATTCCTCCGTAACGTCTCACAGAGCACTCTTGGCAAACCTGCGGCTTCTTTGCTTGCTTGCTTGGGCGGGTGGCTCGTACCTGACCAGATCAGCCAGCCTTCCTTGACAGGCGCACACCACAAATCCTTAGAATACGAGCATCATGCAAACGCCAAGCTGCTAGTTTGTTGCACTCGGAGATGACAAGCGTGTTCTCGTGTTGCAATGGACGATCCCCAGTACGGAAGGAGTGATAGATCAACGTCTACACCGAGTTCCTCCAAGGTTGAGCCAAAGGCAGGGCCTGAAATCCGTCTCGTTGCAGAGATTCCCAATTCGACCATCGCCAACTATCAAAACACCGAAAGTCAACATTCCCATGATACGAAAAGTGGACCCGACTCGTTCTTCACAGCCGTCCAGTGGACAGCAGATGGTTCGTCTCTGGTTGCAACGTCCTCTGACAAATCAATTGCAACGTTTGTGATACCGGACGACCTCCTCCAGACGTCAGATTCACGCCCGCTGGTCCCCCAGTCTCTCACCAAGCTTCCTGAGCCGCCCCGAGTTGTTGCACCTGCTCCCTACTTCTCGCTCGCGGACCCAGCAACGCAGACCTTCTTGGTGGCATGTCGTGAGCATCCGCTGCAGCTATACCACGCGTTCCCCGCCGAGGGCAATTCCAGGCCTTTGTGTGGCTATAAGCTTATCAAACAGGAAACCGAGGCATACATCACACCGTCAGCTCTAGTTTGGGACCATCCTGGCACACACTTTGTGTGCGGCTCTGCCAACCGGCTAGACTTGTTTGATGTGTCTCGGCAAGGATCTGACGGACCCATCTTGACGGTGCCTACGATTCCATCCCGAAGACATGTTTCCAAAGGTGGCGGGGTTGGTATGAAGGGGACCGTGTCCTCACTCGCTACCGCCCCTGCCGACGCCAATGGCTCCTCTATAATAGCAGCCGGCACTTGGACTCGCTGGGTTGGCCTGTACGACCTCTACCGCGAGAACAAAGCCATTGCCAATTGGAGCATCGCGCACGCTGCTAACGAGGTGTCGGACGTAGCAATTGGCGGGCAAGGAATCGCCCAGACCCTCTGGAGCCCTTGCGGGAGATACCTAGTCATCAACGAGCGGAACGCCAATGGGCTTTTGCTTTACGACATAAGAGTCACGGGCCAATTGCTCAGCATCCTGAAGGGTCGCTACGCTGACACCCAACAGAGGCTCCATTGCGATGTATTTCCCAGTGCGGAAGGAGGGTTTGAGGTCTGGTCCGGGACACAGGACGGCACTGTCGTCGTCTGGGATGGAGTTGGTCTTCACAGTGAGTACGGTATGGAGCCTTCCTGGCACTGGAAAGCCCACCCGTCCCCAATAGGAAGCACAGTAGTTCACTCAAGCGGCTCAGTTGCTGCTACATGCTCAGGTGGCTGGGAACATCCCAAATCATTTGAAAGTGAGAATGCGGACGAGGAACATTCTGTGCCCAGGTCACAGTGTTCCGTGCTCGATGAGTCTACCCTCAAGATATGGTCCATGACTTCTCCCACCCAGATTGAAGAGAACACTATTTAAACAGTACATAGCCCCAATACACATTTACCGCGGTTGGTAGTTGGTTTCTTGAATCACATCACATTTTAAGCGCGGCCTTGGCACCGCCTCATTTCGCTACACAGCCCATCGTTTCGGCTTACTGCCTTGCTGCGCCAAGTTTTCCCGCCAGCTTACGCGCCAGGAGTGATAAGCCAGGCTGCCCTTGTCGGTGCCCAGCCAATACCTGGCTAACGTGATGATGCACGCAAGGGGTAATAATTAAGTGCCGCGTTTCAGATTGCTGAGAGGTCCGTGTCCCTGGCTGGCGGAAGTGGAGAGTGCCAACGAACCACACACGATCCCAGCACCTTCATTTAGCTGTATGTACAACATCAACGGCGGTCGATAACTCGATCTGAGCCCTATTAGCGGGGAGGCGTCAAAAATCAATCTATTTTCCGGATGGTGCAATGTCTTGGCTGAGGAGAAGCATCGTCGAAATTGGCCTCCTTGGGGGAAAACCAGGTCAGGAGTCAAGGATCACAAGCTCAGTGTGCAAATCGTCACATGGGGCTATGGCTCAAAGCAGACACGAAGCGGATCATCAATGCAATGGCATGCATGCATTCCGGTTTCACTCACGAGAAGGCTAGACCCAATATGAAATTAGGAATCGTTGCTGCTGCAATCGCGAAGCTGTCCATGGTGATAATTTTTTCCATCTATGGACAAGTATCTGAGAATCATCAAGTCGTGTTTTGTACATCAAAGAATGCTCCCCCTAGCCAACTCCCGCCTTTGTATTTCGCTTAGCTATTTCCAAAACGCCGGCAATGCCAACCAGGCACTGCGCGAACCCTCCATAATCAAACAAAGTCATTATTGATGCAAATTCCTGTTCTATCCAGTAACGAGAAGGCCGGGGGAGGACAGCCAAAGAGAGAGAGAAAGCATCTGCCCAAATGTGAGATGCTGAAATCGTGCGGCCAGAAAACCGGAAAAAATTAAGTAGTGGCCAGAAACGCGCCTCTCGGGCATCCACACGCAGTTGGCGATGGACAAGTGACTCGCCAGGTATCTAAATGCGCCGTAAAAAGGAATAATGATAACAGAGATGATGGATGGATGTCTGTTTCATATCCATCCGTCTTTTGTGGTCCTGCGATTTTGCTGCCAAAAGGATCCAGAATCAGTGCCCCGTCGGCCTCGGTAAGGGTTAGTGTAGGGGTCGATGGCACTCTCGTATGAATCGTTCGCGGGGTCATGGTCTTGCGGCTCACTCAAAGGACCTTCAGGTTGAACCGACCGGTTTTGCGCTGCATGTAAGGTGCCATGCGGGTCGTCGTCCAGCTCATAGATTGCGCTCAAAGCCCCATTGTAGCCGAAGGAGTTGTCCGGTTCTCTCAAGGGCTGCTGGTCCGTTTCCATATCGCGTCCTCGACCACCGGCCATTACTTGCTCATCAATCGTAATTGGCGAAACATAGTCATTTGGTGATACCTCTCGCACGGGCTCCATGCCTGGGTGATGCCGGTTTTTCTCGTAAACAGCATCCCCTGGTAATACAGGGTTCATGTAAGTTTGAGCGTAGGAACGGTCCATTTCATGGGTTGGGTGCAGAGGCGTGAAGACATTCGTGTTGTCAGAATCATCGGAACTATTTGAAGTTAGCAAAAGAGGGTCTCTCATTACGCAAATACAAATCCGCATAGAATTGCTCATACCTTGAGAACTTCGGCTCTCTCTGTGGCCCGTCGTGCAAGGGTTCCTTTCTCCTTCTCACAAGGAAAATGGCGAGCAGGGCTAGAAGAGCGATCAGGGCGACACCGCCAACAGTGCCGCCAACTATGGCACCAATAGGGGGCGAATTATTGCTGTCCTTTGGTGCTTCATCATTTGCATTGTCCTTATCACCATCTTGCCCTCCACCATTGGCGCCGCCTGTTGAAGTAGGGTTTGAGCCAGAGCTCGATCCAGCCGTTCCAGTGGAACTCGTATTCGAAGAAGTTGTTTTCAAAGAACTCGTAGTGCTTGAGCCCGATTTAGACGAGGACTTGGTTCCTAGGGTTGTCGGTTCTGAGAGAGAAGTGGCAGTAGCAGTAAACTCGAGACTAATGCTCGTCAAATCCAGCGTTTGTTTGCCCGACGCAGACATGGCGACCGTCGTCGCCAGGTCAGATGCCGACCCGCACCCATACTGATGGTAGCCGCCATCAAACTGGTTCTGATAACACACATTCCCACCTCCGCAGGTATAAACGTAAGGGTTGACTTCTGTCTGGGGATCGCTGTTGCCGTCGACACATCCAGTATAAACGCCTTGAGTACAAGGCCCGCCATCGGGGCAGCAACCAACAACTCCATGCTCGACATCAATGGCGCAGTGCGAACCTGCAGAGCAGGTGGCCGGTAGATCTGGGTTCCCTCCTACATATCCGCAAACTGTGTTGAGTTGTCGTCCAAGCAGGTGGTTGGCCTCGGGCATCACTGTCGGAAGAGGCCATGGCAAGACATTCAGCTCTCGAAGCTGGACGGTATGTGTCTTCTGTGGAATGGCGTGGCTGCTGGCGGCTGGAATGATGCTCCAAAGGAGAGCAAGGCTCGAAGCGCGCGCCACTGATGACGTGAGGCCGCAGTTCAACATGCCGGACAGATGCAGTGTTTCATAGGCGGGCGACCAATGAAAGCAAATCCCCAACATGCACTCGCAGACTAGTGTGTTGTTCTCGAGAACAGCTGTTAGGAAGATATCCCAAGCGCGACCCGGCCATAAACATGTATGTCTCACATGTGGGAAAAAGAGGGGGGGGAGCACTGTAAGATGCAGGCCGGGTGAGGTTGGGAATGGATATTATGCCAGTCTTCCAATGCCAACAGATAGCCAAGAGAGCCCAGGCTGACCTGTTGACCAGCAACGTTTTGGAAGTGGCCAGGGCAGCCCAGCTAGCAACCCACACTACCCTCGTTGGAGGGGTGACTTGCAGGGGGTCTGAAGGGGGGCAGGGAGGTAAATTTAGCAGCCTCCTCCCCCGAAGCCATCACTCTCCAGCGCAGCCACGGGTGCTTATTGGGCCAGCCAGGCGCTACCTACCTAAGTGAGGTAAGCCCGATACCCGTTACCGACCCTCCTAGTGTCGCAAAGCGCCCTTCGTTAAGTGCCTGCCACTTAAATCTCCCCCACGAGAGATCGGTACTAAGCAGACGGTAATCCCTAAAACCTGTAATCTTCCGCGCTGCTGCACGACACGGCGAGACAATGAGGGCGATCGCGGCAGTCTGGCAGCTGCCGGGTACGATCAGTCAGTTCGCTATCCAACCGAGCGGATCAAAATTGATACGAACAATAAGAAGACTCAGCTGCTGTCACAATGCTACTTCAGATTTTGCAACACCGCTCAGCCCCAACCTTAGGATCCCTGGGGTTGTAATATAGGTTCTAGACACTCCAGTGATCACCCACGAAGACAGAAGAGTGGGCACTCACTATAGCCATCGATGCCCTCGGATCGCTCCGTATATGCACTCTAACTTATAAACCAGAGGCATGCCGATGCCTGCGCCACGGTCGCCGTTGCAGAACCAGTAGCACCGGCGCGCATAGGGAGGGCTCGTGTTTTTTTTAGGCCCTGCTAATCATAATAGCTCGGTTGCGTCGACTGAGGAGCGGGCAGTAAGAGTCGACCTAACTTTCCTACGATTCTGATACGTATCTAGTAATACAACCCTACCTTGACTGATTATGCCTGTCGCTATGACATGGTGCGCAGAATAGCAAGGCATTTAACCAAGGCAGCACCGAGGATCTGCGCCATCCTTCACGTCAGTGGTCTGGGCAGATCAACCAGAGGGACGTAATGGAAAGTCAAAGCAGGTAAATACTTTCAATCCCTATCTCTGCCTGGTTTCAAGGAGCCTCGACTATGAAAGTCTGGAAAGTAGCGGCTTAGTCATGATGGGGGCCGCTCTCAAGAACCTGGATGAGAAAACTGTCCAGAGCGGTCTAGTTACTTACCAAATCATATTACCACTCAAAATAGCTTGTGCTAGTGGGTGGACGAACGGAATCAGTGGGTGTGGCATGTGACCTGGCAAATCCCGCTGTTTCCCCGGTCAGAGCCAGGGACTGACTACACAGCTAAGACAAGGACGCACACTACGTTCGTCATTCGGCATGCATGTGCCTCCAGCTCTTTCGCCGCCAGCCTTGAAGACAGGCTAAGTAGCAGCTGATTCATGATGCCACCAGAATAGCATGTCCACGCCGCTCAGCCCACACCCTTCTCCCCAGAGGCAGACAATTCTCTCTCCGCAGGTCAGAAGCCCAGGATGCCTGACCGCGAACAGGTTATTGAAATTAGGCGGCACCAGTCACAGGTCTGCGACGCCTGACAGCTCGCAGCGGTATCGCTTCCGTTCGTCCTCACCTTCAAGGTGTGTGTCATACACTAGAGAGATGAATTTCCACTAGAGCGGAAAAGTGGTCCCTTCTCAGGACCAAAAATTCGGAAATTCAAATCTGTGTAGAATCCCACATGTGATAAATGGAAACAGAGGCGCATTCCCGTTCAAATCGACCTCGTAAGGGGATTTGCTGCAGTGCACTGGTTTCGTGGATAGCTTTCCCTTGCCTTGTCCGTTTCCACATTGGAATAGCACCAGAGGGGATGTGTGACGTGCGTGAAGCCTGCTAACAGCTCCCCATGTGGTTTGTGTGTCGAGCTGTTAACGGGCTCCCCCAACTTGCAGTGGAGCCAGCACCCTGCTAGTCCCCGGCAATTGCCCCGCAGAGTGTCCAGTCAGTCATCCATCCACTGACCGACCGGTCCTCCCGTCCGCCTCCCTCCAGGTCGAGTTCTATCCGGGTACTTTTCCAACATCACCTTATTCTATCGCTTCTCCTTTCTTCTTCATGCGTTCAGTGCTTGCACAGACCAGCTCGAATTGCCCCCAATTGACCTCTGCCGACCGCTGCGACTCTGCTACAAATTGCCTTGCCTCCGCCAGCGCCATTGTTCCTCGCGCGTTCGCTTAATCCGACTTTGCACCGTATCTGCGCCCACAGCCTCGGCATTAATTGTGTAGCTCCCGCGGGGCCCCATTCACTCCCAGTCATAGAACGCGAGACTTCATACCACGGCACTGAGGTCGTGGCCGGCAATCCATTTCCACCGTTTTGAGCATCTCAAGCCCTCGCCGTCCCCCCTCAATGACGAGATCATAGCTTTTCGGTTTGGTTAGTATCGGGTATCCCTCGCCGTCGCCGAGGACCAGCCATCATGTCGTGGAAGGCCTCCGAGCGCTTGATGGACACGATCAGGCACTATGCAAGGTTCCCAGCCACCGGTGTGAGCCTGCGCCAAATGGTGCAGTTCGGAGAGAAGCCATCCGTCGGTAGGCTGAGCTTGAAATCCCAGATGATCGTGTGGTCACTAACGCTATGAGCCAGGTACTCTCTTCCGAGCCTCTCAGTTCCTTGCCGAGGAACTGCCCATACGATTGGCGCACCGCGTCCAAGAGCTAGACGATTTGCCCGATGGACTGAACGAAATGCCCTCTGTGAACAAGGTGAAGGAATGGTACGCGCAGTCATTTGAGGTAGGCAGCTTTGTTCGCTTGAGTCAAGTTCATGTCGCGACTGGTTTACTAACATGCTCTGTCCCTCATGTCAGGAAATCACACAGCTACCTCGGCCCGATCTTTCCAAAGACGTACGCTCTCGCCTCATGAAGCCTGGAAGGGCCCATGGTCGATCCATGTTCAAGCTATCCGAAGCCACCCCGAACCCTTCCATTATTGAGGGCGACGGCTCTGGTTGGGGCGGCCTCCAGGCTAATGGCAATGGTAATGGCAAGACCAGATCCTATGCCCGACGCTATTTCGCCATGGTGGATGACAACGGCGACTGGCCGGCAGAGCTCCAGCTCTACAACCAGCGGTTTGCACAGACCTTGCACAAAATTAAGAGAAGACACGATAGCGTCGTCACGACCATGGCCCAAGGCATCCTCGAATATAAGCGCCGCCGACAACGCATGCAGATCGATGACACCATCCAGTCATTTTTGGACCGGTTCTACATGTCTCGAATCGGCATTCGAATGCTAATAGGCCAACACATTGCATTGACGGACCAAAGCCATCACCGCGACCCTACATATGTCGGCGTTATCTGCACGAGAACGAATGTGCAGGATCTTGCCCAGGAAGCAATTGAAAATGCCAGGTTCGTTTGTGAGGACCACTACGGCCTGTTTGAAGCCCCGCGGATCCAGCTTGTTTGCAACCCTGACCTGAACTTCATGTATGTTCCTGGCCATCTTTCACACATGCTATTCGAAACCCTCAAGAATTCACTTCGCGCTGTGGTTGAGACGCACGGGATGGACAAGCAGGAGTTCCCCGTCACCAAGGTCATTGTTGCAGAAGGCAAAGAAGATATTACGATCAAGATCACAGACGAAGGCGGCGGTATCCCGCGCAGCGCCATCCCGCTCGTTTGGACGTATATGTACACAACCGTGGACCGAACCCCGAATCTGGACCCTGATTTCGACAAGAGCGACTTCAAGGCTCCGATGGCTGGTTTTGGTTACGGTCTACCTATTTCGCGATTGTACGCCAGGTATTTTGGTGGAGATTTGAAACTAATTAGCATGGAAGGGTGAGATTTCACATCCCATGTCAAGACTATGACGTCTTCTCAAGCTAACGCAAAACTTCTCTACAGATATGGAACCGATGTGTATTTGCATCTCAACCGGTTGTCGTCCTCTTCGGAACCTTTACAATAGCAATTACACACCGCCGGGGCATCATCAATCCCCCTAATCCTACGCAAACGTCTGAAGGACCGGGAAGTGACGGAACGAAGGCAGGTGGGCGATGCCCAGGCGGTGGTAAATGCTCCTCCCCATCATAACCCGGACGATCGGGTCCTGTAAAAGTATACCCACGGGGTAATACCTCACAAAAATCGAGAGGATCAATTGATCAGAGTGTCACATAGAAATTGACGGTGGATTCAAGAGGCGGTGACGAGGTATTCTTCTATTTTATTTTATTTTTGGATGCTAACCTGCATGCTGCTGGGGCCAGGATTGAAACTATTACATTTTGGAGAACCCTACCAAAGCGAAGGCGAGATGCAGAACCAATATCACATCCAAGCAATGTATACTTTTTGCCAACGGCATAATGAATGGGAACATATCTTCCCCAGGCAGTGGTGTGCTGCCAGTTGGACGGGGAAACAGCATCAATGTATCAAACATCAGGAAGATCTAGTTGTTCTAGGGTTGCTTGTGTGCGCCGTCTGTCGTTATTATACTCTCAAAAAAGCGAAAACAGAGAACAAAGGACAAGAATCAAAGAACAGAAAGCTAGTACACATGTCGAACGTGAATTTGTAACACTACACTACTAGGTAGCTGCAAATGCCAGCAGCGATCCTTTCTCTGAACGAACCAAAGGGCACAAGCAAAAGAACTCCTACCAACCCAGGCACAATTACCATGGTTTCACAAAGAGGGGAGCCAGAAAATAAACATCTTGTAGGTCCCCTACCTACCTACGCAGCTTTTCATCTCTTCAATTAATTTGTGCCAACCCAGGTACTTATCTTGCTACCTTACCTACCGAGGTAATGTAGGTAGGCAAAGGTGCGTTAGGGTACGCTCAGTGCTGCCATGTTTGCCTCTCGGTCGCTCTTGCTCACCCTTACGAGATTGAACAAACTGTGCGTTTCCGCGAGTGTGAGCTGGCGGTCAACTGGCTGCAGCCTTTAATGCACCTTCCCGCTTTCATGTTCGTTTCTGACTGCCTGGCGCCGTTCGCACCTTCCCCACGCACCTTACCTGCAACGTCAAATCACTCCCTCTGTGATTCAGTGATAAAAGGCAACCCGTTCTCACTTTTCCCTTGCTTTTCGTCCTCTTCCTTGCAAGCTTCAATCCACCTACTTTATCTATCCAGGTGCCTATCTTGTGACAGCTCAGATCCCATCTCCATCACGTTCATCTACCAGCCTATTCTTTACATCACAGCCTTCTTCTCTTTTTTTTGCGGGAAACTCCCCAACTTCACGTCGCCCAGTTTCTTCGCCAAATTTCTTAGCTCCGCAACCGGCACGATGGCATCGATGGAGATGAAATGCTCCGTCTGTTGCTTGACGCAACCGATCACTTCGTTCAGCAAGGCAGCTAGGAGGCGGGAGGAACCAGTAAGAGGAACCCCATACACCCTATACATTGTGATTTCTGTTGACAGTTCATGTTAGATCTGCAAGAGATGCACTCACTGGGGCATGGGAGTTGAGCCTGAAGTGACACCAAGCGCTCTTCAGACTGGGCACATCTCCGGGGAGGAAGTCCGAGGCGAGGTCTGGGTGGAGGAATACCTCAATACCAGAAACGAGTCCCAGGACGCATCTCAACATGCACCCCAACCTACTTCTCGAAATCCTACCGCAAACGAGACTCAGGTTGAGAGCTCTGCAGCAAGCAGCTGCGGGGGTGTTAGACTCGACGTGGATGGAACAACGACGGAGGATACTAAGAGCGTGGTCTCAGAGCTTCCGTCGGAGCTTGCGTCCTCAGTGAGAGGGTTAACCATACAGGGGTCTCAGGGCCTCCCAACCCATCTGCGTCGCGGTGGAAGCACGATCCCCTCAACTTCCGAAGTCAATAACACCCTCTCAAAGTTAAGGCCGCGAGAGGAATCCATCCAAGAACAGATCCTTCGAAAGTCTGGCCGCCCATCATCATCCGCATCCGTAACAAGCGGGAGTAATGTGGGTAGCATATCTACGGCTACTACGATGCGTGAGGCTCGGAACAGAACCATGATAACTTTCAACCGGTGGGACAACACAGGCAACATACACCAAGGTGTAAAGGACGAAACGACTGCATCGAGTGTCAGCTCAGCTACGACAACTCCACTGTCGCGACAGGCTTGGCCAAAACTTGAAGTTGGTCCAAAAGATACCGCTCCTCTCAGGGCCATTCCCGTCGTTCGCGAGAAACGGGCAGAGCGAGAGTTCAACTCACAGAAGGCCGCCACATTCTGCACTGAACCTGTTCCTGACGATTCCGATTGAGTGTCGGTAGAGCTTCTTCGTGTGTCGGTCTTGATTTACCGTGTTGTTGAATCAGTGGAAGGCAGCGACTAAGCTATACGCAAAGAACACACAATCTTGATATTCTGAAATGCATTGATGGATACGGCGGCCTAGGTTTGGGGTTATGAGGTGTGCGGATACGAGCTCGAATGCTGTAGTCCCTTCTTAACAGAAGTCGCCTTGGCTGGCCTCGGGAGGGAAAGTTGACATTCAAATAAATAAAAGTTCTTCTAGTTCAATAGGTACTTGTGATCTACAGTCTACGCAGAAAAAGGTTGTCTATCACGACTGAAACTGAAAGGAGGACTATTCTTGATCACAGGATGGAGGAACCAGATGTAGGGTAGGCGTTGGATTGGAAAGAGGGCGGCACGGCGCGTCGCGGCACTATCGCCGCGTGCCTCTAAATCTGGTTGTGACTTGATCATCTATAATTAAAACTATTCTGAGGACATACCTGATCAGGCAAGTCGCTCGCCAATCCGTTTACTTTTGGATGCTGTGACGAATGAATAAGCAACTGCCGCTCGGGCTGGTACAGAATGGGAGCGGGATACCCGTCTGACGCTGTCGGGTGTGTCGGATGATTTCTTTCGCCCTGGTGGGTGGCAAGCTGACATGACTAGAGCGATACTACGGGCCAGCAGCACATTTCCGTCGTTTTGTGTGTGCATTGCCAGCGGTTCAAAATTGAAGCTTGGCTTTTTTGGTGACGACAGGCGTCCTTCGACTGCCCCTCCCGCTCAATTGGGTGCCTCCCATACACTCTGGGTACGGGTACTAACCGTAGACAGGACTACCGGCAGCGATGATGATTTTCGGTTTCTACCATTTGGCATCTCATGCCCTCGGCGCGTGTTGGTCATTGGTTCACAGGCAGGACCCTTTCCAATCAGTTCCCCTCCATGAATTGGGGCAAATGACACAATTTCCAAATTGTTTGGAGAGGCAGGCAGGTACCGAAGGCAGGTACCTACCTAAATTACTGGTAATAATTGGACGGCGCGAACCTTTGGGAACAAGCAGCAAGCATTAGTCGCGCTTTCCGTTCCCCACGAGTTGGCGCGTTGACAGGCGCTCCATGTTCATGTAAGTACCGGCTACCTGGCGCCTTGTAGCTCGGCCGGGCGCAAAAGATGAGAGGGGTACCTGCCCTGGGTGGGAGGTACGTACCCGGCCGCCACTTCCACTCGCTCCCAGGTACAGGTACCCAACCACCTAGCTCATTTCCTGCGAATGGGAATTGGGTGGCAGGGCACCAATTCACCTTGCATGACAGGGCCTGTTTCTCCTTTTCGTTTTAACAGGGCAGCCGACGTCGGGGAACATGCCTGGGCGGTTTGGTTGCTGCGCACGCATGTCCAGATCAGGTTGTGCCCTGCTGCGTTGGACACGTCTAGGTCTCCAGGTTTCCTCATTCAAGGGTTTATAGAGCAACGGTCACCCGATCGGCTAAGCTGCAAATATTGGCACTGGTTTTTATCCTTCCCAGCGGACCCCTCATACCGAGCAAGTCTCACCAGAGAGTATTTTCTTTTTCGCCCTCAATTTTCCTCTTCCTAGACTCCACCGTGCGCTGGGAACCCTGCCTGCCTTGGCGGCGCAATTTGCGACCACGGCCCGCTAACAAGCAACGAAATTGCGACCCCTATCGATGGTACCTGCTGAAGGGTACAAGGTACCTGGATACAAATCCCGCCTCCTTGGTCCTGAGGGTTTCGTTTTGGGGGCTTCATTTCCATGCAACTCGACCCTATCCATGGCATAATATCCCAAGGGGGGCAGACATGGTTTCGCATGGGTCCTTCATTACCGGATAATCTAATCTTCAGAACGCACGTGCCTGCCAGAAGTACATTCACACTTGACAGTGATCAATGCTCAAGGGAGACTGTGTGTCGGACCCTGCCGCTGCCAGTGCCCTTTGTGTGGTGGGTGCATTTTTTAGCAGGTTTCTTCCAGGGACGAGCTACCACCCAAGCGTCTCTACTGGGTCAATTGTGACACTGCCCTGTAATACCGGTGAGTGCCTGGGCATGTTCTACTTTTCTTCTTCCCGTCTTCTTTCCTTCCGCCCTGTCGGATTTTTCTGCTTCTCGTCGGTCATTCACTTTTTTCTTCCCTCCTCTGCCTCCCGCTTCCGAAGGGGCTGGATCAGAAGTCAGCTTGCCCAGCAAATCTCAAGAGGCCTGGGCCTGTCTTGTATCAGCTCCTCGCGTTGCTTCTTTGGCCCATTCCCCTGTGTCCCCCCCCGGTTCATCGCATTCCCCTGCTGAACAGTCACGGTGGGGTGATCGCTGGTCCCCTGTCGCCGTACGCACCCTGCTTCTCTAAGCACTGTAGGTAGCTCTCGCCCCAGAGGATCATTGCGCTGGGTGCTGCACTAGCCTGTAGCCCGCGGATCCGTTTGGGCGCTGGCTCGTCCTAGTGACCCTTCCCCCAGCTGTAGGCTGCTCGTTCCCGTCTCCTTTTCCTACCCTGACCATACTGTACCTTAAACTGAGCTTGCTCCTTGCCAGCCTCTCACTCCAGTCTCTCATTATTTACTTTTCTCCAGATCAATCGAACGCCATCTAGATATAATTTTCGACGCGGAAGAATCATACAAGCACGAGTTATCTACGTCTCTTAGACCGACCTTGCATAATTTACCTGCATACAGCTCGCTCTCTATATACACCCACCAACCTGAATGCTCCGGTCATAGGTACGAAGCTCTGCGATAGAGCTTGTCGAGACGACGGGCGACTGACCCCCGTGTTGCTGGATAAGGGTTTGCGGCGGATTGATTCAAGTCGACGTCGCGTCAGGGTCGCTATCCCGTTCGGTTTACGACATATTTGAAATCATTTAGAAACGAACAGCTCAACTACACAACTATGACGGTATCAGGCGACTTTTCCCGTCGTGTGTCGTCACACGCGAGCAACCTAGCTCTGGAGGATAGGTTCGAAGTGCTCAAGGAGATCGGCGATGGAAGCTTTGGAAGTGTCGTTCTTGCTAGAGTACGGACCGCAGGCGCAAATGTTGCTCGTCGCGGCACGGTGGTGAGTTTCATCCAGCTTCCCAGAGGCGGACACCAGCCCAGGACCGCGCTCGTTGGTACTAATTTGAACTTAATATTAGGTTGCCATCAAATCCATGAAGAAGACGTTTGAGTCATTCTCGTCATGTCTCGAGCTTCGCGAAGTCGTCTTCCTTCGAACCTTGCCTGCGCATCCTCACCTGGTCCCAGCTCTGGACATCTTTCTGGACCCCTACACAAAGAAGCTTCACATCGCTATGGAATACATGGAGGGAAACTTGTATCAGCTTATGAAGTCGCGCGACCACAAATGCCTCGACAACTCCAGTGTTAAAAGTATCCTCTTTCAGATCATGCAGGGCCTAGAGCATATTCATTCGCATCATTTCTTCCACCGCGACATCAAGCCAGAAAACATCCTGGTTTCAACATCATCACACAACGAACCATCTACCGCTTTCCGACGCTACTCATCACTTGTCACCCCTCCATCAACACCGCCTACTTACACCGTGAAGCTTGCTGATTTCGGCTTGGCGAGAGAGACGCACTCAAAACTGCCCTATACCACATATGTATCTACGAGATGGTACCGAGCTCCGGAGGTCCTTCTGCGTGCTGGGGAGTATTCTGCTCCAGTTGATATTTGGGCCGTAGGAGCTATGGCGGTCGAGGTCGCTACCCTCAAGCCACTCTTCCCTGGTGGAAATGAAATGGACCAAGTTTGGAGGGTCTGTGAGATCATGGGGAGCCCCGGAAATTGGTACAGCAAATCTGGATCGCGAGTTGGCGGAGGAGACTGGCGCGAAGGCACAAGGTTGGCTGGGAAGCTGGGCTTCTCATTCCCCAAGATGGCACCTCACGCCATGGAGACGATCCTCCAGGCTCCTCAGTGGCCACCTGCCCTCAGTCACTTCGTGACATGGTGCCTGATGTGGGACCCCAAGAGCCGACCGACATCAACGCAAGCCATCGCTCATGAATACTTTGCCGACGCTGTTGATCCCCTCCGACCCAAGTCATCTACCTCAACTAAGATCTTGGGTCGGAAACAGTCCGACCTTGCCCGAACGACAACCCCGACCCCTTCAATCTCATCCAAACCCTCATGGTTCCGCAAATCTCTTATTGGGCGTAGCGAAACCCCCGAGCCACTGGCGAGCCACACTATTCAATCGAACGACATGCCCAACGCACGACCTGTACCTGTCCAGCTTTCCACTCACAGCGAAGTTCCTTCTGCTGTTCATCGCACGGGAGCCGGCAAGCGCAGCACCTGGACCAATGGGACTACTTCTAACAACATGGCCCCTATGCCAATTTTGCCTTCTATTCGACCAATCTCTCCACTGTCTGATGCAGTCAATGCACGGGCAAGCAAGCATACCGATGGGAAATCCAAGATTGGCCGCCAAATGTCTGTGGCTTCCGCTACAAATCACTACACAGAGATGCATCGCCAGGAGGCCGAGCGCGCTTTGAATGGGAAGACCGGTCTTGTCTCACCTCCAAGCGGCCAGAAGGAAGGCTTCTTCTCTCATCTTCGCAAGCGAGCGAGGCGCTTGTCTGGGCGACATCAGACGCCTGCTTCCCCCACATATGAGGATGCTGAGGCGGTCGCGGGATGTGTTCCTTGGACAGGCAGCAACAGGTCCTCGATGATCGTGGATCAACAGGCGATGGTGGCCAAGTCAGACATGTACGATTCTCTGGATAGAACTCTGCGTGACGTTCAGAACCCCGAATCCAAGGCACCCGTTCCTCCCGCACATCAAGCAGGCACGAGCAGCAGTCTCAAGCGCCATCACTCATTGCCTCAGCAGCACCACCGATCGGTCGATAACCTGATCGGTGTTGCCCGCGGCGGGCCAATCTCTAGCAGAACTCGACGAGCTCAGGCTGCGCAGGGAATGAACCAATATGAGACCCCGGCAGAAGAAGACGAGCTTCTTGA